TAGTTTGTTGCTCCTTTCAGCTTTTATTTTTTAGCTTTTTTTTTTAATCACTTGATAGGAACACCGCATCTATTTAAAACTTGAAAACGGGAACGCTATAATTCTGAGAAGATGAAATAAAGGCAGTATTTTGAATTGCAGAGGATAGGGAGGTAAAGGAAGTTTTTATGACCTGATTTTATAAAATACCACATTTACAAAGCTTTTTGGATTTTTTTTTTTTTTTTTTTTGAGACGGAGTTTCACTCTTGTTACCCAGGCTGGAATGTAATGGTGTGATCTCGGCTCACCGCAACCTCCACCTCCTAGGCTCAAGCAATTCTCCTGCCTCAGCCTCCCAAGTAGCTGGGACTACAGGCATGTGCCACCATGCCCGTTGGTTTTTGTATTTTTAGTAGAGACAAGGTTTCACCATGTTGACCAGGATGGTCTCGATCTCTTGACCTCGTGATCCACCCACCTCGGCCTCCCAAAATGCTGGGAGTATAGGCGTGAGCCATCGCGCCCACCCAGCTTTATGGATTTTTAACCAAGCCTTTTCATTTATAGTTGGTAAGAAGTTTATGGCAAGAATGGTATTTACTTTCTTAGAATGGTATTTGCTTTCTTTTAATTTTAAAGTCTGCATATTCCTTAGAACTGGGAAAAGGATCCTGACCTCCATTATAGGGGACTCTTATTTTATGTTTTCTATTCCTTTTGACTGACCATTAACCTTTGTTACAGGCAAAGAAGAGTAAGACCAAAATGCCATCTTTGGTAAAGAAGTGGCAAAGTATCCAGCGTGAGTTAGATGAAGAGGACAATTCTAGTTCCAGTGAAGAGGATCGGGAATCAACTGCACAGAAGCGAATTGAAGAGTGGAAACAGCAGCAGCTGGTTAGGTAAAAGAAAAGGGAACACAGATGGGTGGAGTAGGTTGTGGTTGTTAAAGATACATTAGAATAGATATTCTTTTTTGAGACGGAGTTTCGCTCTTGTTACCCAGGCTGGAGTGCAATGGCGCGATCTCGGCTCACCGCAACCTCCGCCTCCCGGGTTCAGGCAATTCTCCTGCCTCAACCTCCTGAGTAGCTGGGACTACAGGCACACGCCACCATGCCCAGCTAATTTTTTGTAGTTTTAGTAGAGACGGGGTTTCACCATGTTGACCAGGATGGTCTCGATCTCTTGACCTCATGATCCACCCGCCTCGGCCTCCCACAGTGCTGGGATTACAGGCTTGAGCCACCGCGCCCGGCCTAGAATAGATATTCTTAAAATTACAGCTTGTAAATTTATCTAAAAGTTTTTAATTTATAAACATGTTTTATTGCCTTATAGAAATCATGGTCTAGCCTTTTTTCCAAAATCAGAAATACCAGAGTTGTAAAACTTTGTCCTGTTGATTGTTGGTCTGAGGCAAAGGGCCTGTCTTAACTCTCAGTATGTTATTTACATCTAGATCCAGTGGACCCTTTTTCTTTTTTCTTTGCCCCCTCCCCTAACCCCTAGTGGACGCTTTTTCATAGACACACACACGCAGACATACACACATATATACATACTAACTTATTTTACAAATTTACAAATAATTTTCAGAATTAAAGTCTTTTCCCTATCCCTGTTTCTCAGTCAGGCAAGGTAGAATACACAGCTGCTTTTTGAATTGCTCTTGTTCTAGAATAGACGTTAATGAGACAGCACACCACACTGGGAACTAAATGAACCTCTACTAGGTAAAAAAAAAATCCTTCTTTACCTTGTTTGACTAGAATAAAAGGATAGGTCCGGGCAAGGTAGCTCACACCTGTAATCCTAGCACTTTGGGAGGCCGAGGTGGACAGATCGTGTGGTCAAGAGACTAAGACCATCCTGGCCAACATGGTGAAACCCCATCTCTACTAAAAATATAAAAATTAGCTGGGCATGGTGGCACATGTCTGTAATCCCAGCTACTTGGGAGGATGAGCAAGAGAATCGCTTGAACCTGGGAGGTTGAAGTTGCAGTGACTGGAGATCACACCACTGCACTTCAGCCTGGCGACAGAGCGAGACTCAAAAAAAAAAAAAAAGGATAGGGAGAACTGGCCTCAAGTAATCCTTGTGCCTCAGCTTCCCAGGGTGTTGGGATTACAGGCGTGAATCAGCACGCCCAGCTCACAAATATTTTTTTTTTTTTTTTGAGTCGGAGTTTCGCTCTTGTTACCCAGGCTGGAGTGCAATGGCGCGATCTCGGCTCACTGCAACCTCCGCCTCCTGGGTTCAGGCAATTCTCCGGCCTCAGCCTCCTGAGTAGCTGGGACTACAGGCACACGCCACCATGCCCAGCTAATTTTTTGTAGTTTTAGTAGAGACGGGGTCTCACCATGTTGACCAGGATGGTCTCGATCTCTTGACCTCGTGATCCACCCGCCTCGGCCTCCCAAAGTGCTAGGATTACAGGCTTGAGCCACCGCGCCCGGCCTGCTCACAAATATTTTTTATGATAAAAGCACATGTTGGGCTAGTTGCGGTGGCTCCTGCCCGTAATCCCAGAACTTTGGGAGGCCGAGGTGGGAGGATCACGAGATCAGGAGTTCAAGACCAGCCTGGCTGATATGGTGAATCTCCATCTCTACTAAAAATATAAAAATTAGCTGGGCATAGTAGTGGATGCCTTTAATCCCAGCTACTCAGATAACTGAGGCAGGAGAATCGTTTGAACCTGGGAGACAGAGGTTGCAGTGAGCTGAGATCATGCTATTGCACTCCAGCCTGGGCAACAGGGTAAGACTCCGTCTCAATTTAAAAAAAAAAAAAAAAAAAAACAACACACACATGTTGGCTGGGCACTGTGGCTTACACCTGTAGTCCTAGATGCTTGGGAGGCTGTGACAGGAAGATGGCTTTTTCAAAAATTCTAGAAATTTTAAAGACTTAAGACCCAGCAAACACAGTTTTTTATTTCATGTTTTCTCTGTTTTGAAGGTATACACTATGAAATGGGGCAGCGTTCTTTGCAACTCACTGTACACATCTAGTTGTCAATGTGTAACCTAGAACATAGCTGTCTAATACTGGATTTCAAATTCATATCTGTTAGGTTCTAGCTTATTTTTTATTAAAAGATCTAGTGCATTCATTCTGCTAATTGCAAGATATAATTTGAATTTCAATCCTTACAAATAATACTACTTGAAAGAGAAACTGAAAAACATTAGATCCAGAGGTCTCTGATGGTAGATTGAGGGTTAGATATATCTGCCTTCAAGAATTGTGTTAACTCCTGTGGGCTAAGAAAAAACTTTAATAGAATGTATTTTATTCTTTCAGTGTGCCTTTAATGGTTACTGGAGGTATATTTATGTAAAATAAGTAAGTCTGGGTGTGGTGGCTCACACCTGTAATCCCAACACTTTGGGAGGCCAGGCAGATCACCTGAGGTTAGGAGTTTGATACCGGCTTGACGCAACATGGAGAAACCTGTCTCTACTAAAAAAAATACAAAATTAGCTGGGTGTGGTAGCATATGCCTATAATTTCAGCTACTCGGGAGGCTGAGGCAGGAGAATGGCTTGAACCCAAGAGGCAGAGGTTGCGGTGAGCCGAGATCACACCATTGCACTCCAGCCTGGGCAACAAGAGCAAAACTCCATCTCTAAATAAATAAATAAAAAGCACATACACATTTACATAAAATTGGGGAAGTGTTTGGCTGACCTATCAGAATGAAGAAATTGAAGAATATACTGATATTTGGCTGAGAAACAACAGTTTAATAAACATAGATGTGATCAGGTTTTCAATTTCAGTTTGGTGTTTATTTGTTAGGAAATGAATACTTAGTCAATTTTTCTTTTCAGTGAAATAATCTGTGTGTTGTTTTCACAGTGGCATGGCAGAGAGAAATGCTAATTTTGAAGCCCTTCCTGAGGATTGGAGAGCAAGACTAAAGAGAAGGAAAATGGCTCCAAACACATAGTTTTTAAGTTTTTAAAACTTTTTTTGTATTATTTGTTTTGTGTTCAAAGTCTTAACCAGTTTTATTGTTGTCAAATAAACTACAAATGTTATGGGGGAGACCATAGGAATTTCCTGGGCAAGAGTGTATGCATACAGAGTTTCACTTCTGTGAAATGTAATTTTTCTGTTTTGCTAAAGGGTGAGGTGATTGGAATTGCTTTGACCATGCTGCATTTATTCTCACACTGGCAAACTTAGCATGTTAGGTACATTAACCTCATCAGTCTTGAAGAACATGTGGCTGATGAATATGACACCTCTGTAGAGGACTCCCTGACTTTTAAAAGTGAAGGATTAACTTCTCCAGAACAAGTGCAATTCAGAAGGCAGCTCTGCATTCTACCTTGCTTGACTGGGATTATCTGGATCTCTTTCTGGCCGCTTCCTGTAGTCGGCCACCTCTGAAGTGCTGAGGTCTAAGTGGTTTACCTTGTGCTGATAGATGGCCACACTCTTTAGAGTAGTTCTCATAAATTCTAGAACTGGTAGCTCATTTCGCACACTAGGTGGCATACAAACAGCAGCATTGGCAGCAGGTGTTCATATCCTTGATTTTGAGAATTTCCCCTCAACTATGTGGCTGGCAGTAGATGCAACAAGAGACATTCTGTGTATTAATGTCTCCATTGTCTTAACCCTGTTTCAAAACAAAATTCACCTCCTTTCTTTATGTGAATGTATTCTCCATAAAATTCCAGTATTTAAAAAGCAGTTTACCATTCTGTACTTTGTATTGTATCACAATCAGGTAAAAGTCACTTTAAACTGAGGAAAAGACAAATTGTGTTTTAAAGCTCTTTGTATTTCTCCAGTTTCTGACCTTGTAAATTTGTAAATATGCACTAATAAAGCTTTTTTTATAATTCTGATGGGTTATCCTTTTGCTTATCGAAGCCTGTTATTATGTAACCAGGACTTGTTTTTTTTTCTTCTAAGCATATACATTGTTAAGGTGTGTGCTTTTAGGGAAAAGATCTTGAGTGGGGAGTAGGGGAATGGTGGGGCCAGTTTAGACAAACAGGCTTCTAATACCAGATGGTGCTCTGTGACCTAAGTTTTGGGGTCTATCATTTATAATACCTATATTATCTAATACCTAGATTGGCTAATAGCCATATTATCCAATAGCTATGTTAGATGATATTTGACCTACTTAATTCCTGGCAATGATGTAATATGGTTAACATTTTGAATAAAAGGTGCTTTATAGGTTTTTCCCCACTGATAAAAGTAAGATTATATTCAAAAAGTTAACCAAAGATACGTTTGAATTTTATTGTAGTATATTTCTATGCATATAATTTTTAAAACCAAATCAAAATGTGTGATTTGAATTTGCTAGCTTTGTTTCTTAAGTTTTTCAGTGTAGAAGGTAATTTTTCCGTTCTGGCTATGGAGTGGAGAGAATATAAGGTGAAAGGAGAGGAGCAGCAGCTCTCTTAGAGCAAAGTATGCATAAGAATGATCTAAAGCTAAGCAACAGGAAACGAGCTTGGAAATATGTTGAGGGCTGCTGGCACTGTACTCATCAATGCGGTTTCGATTCCCAGGCTGGGGCTGTAATGTATGAGGGGAAGAATGAATCTGAGTCTGCGCCGCCCGCCAAGCTTATTGCTGACCTTCCTGGGGCTGCCGTCTCCCTCCCTGGGGGAGGGGCCTAGCTCCCCGGAAGCGCCCGGCAGCCCGGCCCTTCTTCCGCTTCCCGCTCGCGGTTGCTAGGCTACCTGAGCCCTAACAGAAAGCGGTGGTAGGCAGGTGCGGCGAGTGTGTCCCCTTTCCCGCACAAGGCTTGGCCTTTGTACGTAAGTGCAGTGGCTGCCTGCCTCGCTCGGGCTTCTCTGCCGCACTCATCCGTGCTGCTTGGGACAGGCCGGGGCGCGAAGGCGGTCGTATCCATCTTGGGAAGTTTCTGCTCCCCCTCTCCCTCCTACCCTTTGGAAACCCCCTCACCAGCTGCCCCGGACCAGGTTTCTCTGAACCTTAAATTCAGTTTTCAGGGCTCACTCTCCCGATCCCCTGACCTTTTTCCATCTACCCCGACACGACTCCGCCGCGTGCTCCCATCCCCATTTCTTTCACTTCTCTGTGGCGAGCATCTTCCTTCTCAGGGAGAAGGAAGCATGGGGCCAGCACCTTGGGAAGAAGAGGCAGGAAGACCCGCCGTCCTCCCTGTCTCAGGTGCACCTCCGGCCTCGACGTGACCACCTTGTTTGGCTGAGGAGAAGCTGGGTTGGCAGGGTTTTCTGAAGTCAAGCGGGAGCTGGGGGGTTGCAGGGAGGTATTGCAGTTTTTTCACTTGTCCTGTTCTGGCTTTGTAGCTTCTCGTGTGTAATCACCTGCGTATTTGGAAATTGGGCAGGGTTTGCAGCTGGATGCCAACGTCACTGACTAGTCTTCAGCCCACCATGCAGAAATAACATGTTCCCAGCCTTGGAAATGCAGCTAAAGCAGGAGGTCGGTACACAACACAGAAAGCCACAGATTTCTTCAGGGAACTCCACAGAAATCCAATACTAGATGAGAAGGGATGTTCTGGTGGCATCTTTTCCCAGCTGAAGATCTTGATCCCTATGATAGAATAATTCATATGGAATGTGGTTCGCTGAGTGTTTAGTCGTCTACAACAATGCTCATGTACTTTTTGTTGAGTCTATTATCGTTTGAAAACATCTTGATTGAAGTGGCCCTTCCTTTCACAGACTCACAGACTTCCTGATCCCTATGAAGACTTTATGTACCATCACCTCCAATATTATGGCTACTTTAAAGGTAATAATACCATGTTCTTATCTAGTATCACTTTTCCTGGGCTCAAGGAGAAAATTGCTTTGTTAACTGGTAGGGTTGAACTTGGGTAGACTAATAAATACTTTGAATTGACAAATACTTTTTCCTCTACCATTAGTGAAAAGTACTTCCTTTCCCCCATTGAGCTGCAGGGTCACCTCTGTCAAGTAGGCAGAGTCACTTAATACAAAGGTTTGTTTATGGGCTCTCTATTCCAATGATCTGTTTGTCTATCCTTTAAGTGTCACTGTCTCTTAATTACTATATGGCCTTAAAATAGTCTTGGTATCTGGAAAGACATGTCTTCCCACCTTGTTCTTCCAAAGTGTCAGCTGTTCTTGAGTCTGCCTTCCTATATACATTTTGCAATTGGCTTATGACATTTTATTTTATTATGAGATAGAGTCTCATTCTATTGCCCAGGATGGAGTGCAGTGGTGTGCTCTTGGCTCATTGCAACCTCCGCCTCCCAGGTTCAAGCGATTCTCCTGCCTCAGCCTCCTGAGTAGCTGGGATTACAGGCACATGCCACCATGCCCGGCTAATTTTTGTTTCTCCTTTTTTTTTCCCAAGGTGGAATCTCACTCTTTTCGCCCAGGCTGGAGTGCAGTGTTGCAATTTCAGCTCACTGCAACCTCCACCTCCCAGGTTCAAGCGATTCTCTTGCCTCAGCCTCCCAAGTAGCTGGGATTACAAGTGCCCACCGCCACGCCCGGCTAATTTTTTGTGTCGTTTTAGTAGAGACAGGGTTTTGCCATGCTGGGTCAGGCTGGTCTCCAATGACCTCAGGTGATCCACGCCCCTTGGCCTCCCAAAGTGCTGGGATACAGCGCGATGGCTCACACCTGTAATCTCAGCACTTTGGGAAGCTTAAGTGGGCGGATCACTTGAAGCCAGGAGTTCCAGACCATCCTGGCCAACAATGGCGAAACACTACCTCTACTAAAAATACAAAAAATTAGCTGGACGTGGTGGCGTGCGCCTATAATCCCAGCACTTTGGGAGGCCAAGGCAGATGGATCACAAGATCAGGAGTCCAAGACCAGCCTGGCCAAGATGGTGAAACCCCATCTCTACTAAAAAATACAAAAAATTAGTTGGGCATGGTGACAGACACCTGGAATCCCAGCTACTTGAGAGGCGGAGGCAGAGAATTGCTTGAAGCCGGGAGGTGGAGGTTGCAGTGAGCTGAGATTGCGCCACTGTACTCTAGTCTGGGCGACAAAACGAGACTCTGTGTCAGAAAAAGAAAAAGAAAATTAAATTTCTAGTTTGCCAGATTCAGTAGATACCCTTAAGATAAAGTGGCTTTGGGTTTCATTGCTCCACTGCCACTTTGATACTTGCTTTCACCTGGGTTTGGCTCTCTTGGCAGCTGTAGGGGCAGAGGGAAGGCTTTCCTTCCAGTGTCTCTGAAAGTTTGACTGACTGGTAATGGACAGACTAATAGGAGAAAAAGGCATACAAATTTATGTGTATGTAGACATGTGATTCCCACAAATAGGAGACTCAAAGTAGGGTCAGATTGTTGAAGTTTAAATACCTTCTTAATAGGGAGAGAGAAATTCAGGGAGGGGGATGTGCAGGCGATTGTGAAGGGTAGTAAATGATTTTCAGGAGAAAGGAATGAGCTCCAAGAACCATGTCCTGGGACAAAGTTCCTCTGAGCTCAGGGGAGGGGTGGCAAGAAAGTGAGGGGAGGAGCTTCACTGAAGAAAGGTTGTCTTATGCAAATAGTTGCCCAGGTAATCTCTGAGTTGCCCTCAGAATTGATGAAAAGTCTCTCTGGATGTGGTGCCAATTTTTAGTCTCCTCTTTGGTGGTTCATCTTTACTGGTTATTTGATGAGATTCCTAGGGAGGGGAACTTAAAACAACTGCTTTTCTTTTGGAAAGAAGTTTCCTTAGTCAAATAAGGAATTCCAGAGAGAGTCCCTTCCTGCTCTTGGGGTAGTGGGGAGACAGGAGAGATCAGAAAGTCCTTGATTCTGAGGCAGCTTCTAAGACTTTTCTGTTTTACTTTTTCAACTTTTATTATAGATTAGAGGTACATGTAACATGGTACAGGTTTGTAACATGGGTAAATTTTATGTTGTTGAGGCTAGGAGCCCTTTCTATATTTAGTTCAAAGTGTTCAGTATGCCAAAGTGTTCCAAACCTTTGGGCCAAATTTTTTTCTTTTTTGAGACAGGATCTCGCTGTGTCACTCAGGCTGGAGGGCAGTGGCCTCCACTTCAGCCTCAAGCAACCCTTCCACCCTTGGGCTATCATTATCTGAGTTCCAACAAAGCCCTTGTAGCTTCAGGATCTTTCTGCCTCCCAAGCTTTTTCTCACTCTACTACCAGGCTACTTCTCAAGTCTCCTCTTTACATGCATTTCCTCAGCCATAAGGTGGGGATAATTATGCGTCACTTACATAAGTTGGAATGTGAAAGCTCTTCGTATTCATTGCAAAGGCCTGTGGTGGTAGGTGGTGATAAAAGGAGTAGTGGCTTGGTATTGACCTAGATGTTAGAAGTGATGAGTCACCCTTACAATAACTTTTAATTAAATTGCCTATTTTTAGCTCAAAGAGGCAGTTTACCAAACTCTGCAACGTATCAGCATATTCAGAAGAATAACCCTCGATACCTGTTGAATGGCTCTCTTGGGGAAAAAGATGATTTGTTACCAGACACCCTGCAAAAGGAGAAGCTTCTATGTGAGTAATAATCAGTATGTGTGATCCCCTAGAACCTCACTGCCTAGTAACTCCCCTGAGTATTCAGAAGAACCTGGTCTAACATTGGAGAGGCTGGGGAGCAGCCTTGGCCTCTGTTTCTAACACCCCATTCAAAACTTCTCTCTAAATTTAATTTGGGTTACAGGTTTAAATTAAAATACTGTATTTTCCAGCTAGGCGTGGTGGCTCATACCTGTAATCCCAGCACTTTGGGAGGCCAAGGTGGGTAGATCACTTGAGGTCAGGAGTTTGAGACCAGTCTGACCAACATGGCAAAACCCTAGATCTACTAAAAATATAAAATTAGTCGGGTGTGGTGGTGCATACCTATAATGCCAGCTACTTGGGAGGCTGAGGCAGGAGGATTGCTTGAACCCAGGAGGCAGAGGTTGCAGTGAGCCACGACCAGGCAACTGCACTCGAGCCTAGGTGACAAAGCGAGATTTTGTCTCAAAAAAAAATAAAAAAAGAGAAATACACCTAGCATGGCGGCTCACACCTGTAATCCCAGCAGTTTGGGTAGCTGAGACAGGCAGATCACTTGAGCACAGGAGCTTGGGAACAGTCTGGGCAACATGGCAAAATTCTGTCTCTACAAAAACATAGAAAAATTAGCTGGGCATGGTAGCAGGCACCTGTGGTCTCAGCTACTCAGGAGGCTGAGGCAGGAGAATTGTATGAACCCAGGAGGCAGAGGTTGCAGTGAGCTTAGATTATGCCACTGCACTCCAGCCTGGGCAACAGAGTAAGACCCTGTCTAAAAAAAAAAAAAAAAAACAAAGTAATACATGGATTTTCACAGTTTTGATGGATGTGCTTACTAAGGCTCTTTGCATAAGAGCAGTGGAAAACAGTTCTAGCTAGCTTACACAAAAATAATTTTTTTGCAGAGACACAGGTTTCTTCTAAAATCCAAGGGGAGAAATGCAGTTGAACTTCTCCCTCAAACCAAACATTGATCCATCCCTCTTTTCTCTACCTTCCCCCCTCCAACCCCCTGCTTATGCCCAGCCTCCACCCCCCATCCTCCCAGCCCCACCACCTCCCATCCAAGCTACCATTATTCAGCCTCCTAATTTGTCTCCTGGCTTTTCTTGTTCTGTGCCGCCCCCTCCCCAATTTTCCACATAGCAGTACTTTTTTTTTTTGAGATGGCGTCTTGCTCTCTTGCCTTTATCCCATTCTTTTTAAGGGCCCTATTGTATTCCACAATTTTTACTTATTTTTCTTTTTTTCTTTTTTTCCTTGAGACAGTCTTGCTCTGTCACCCAAGCTGGAGTGCAATGGCATGATCTCGTCTCACGTTTGAATCCACCTCCACCACCTGGGTTCAAACAATTCTCCTGCCTCAGCCTCCCAAGTAGCTGGGATTACAGATGCCTGCCACCACACCCGGCTAATTTTTTGTATTTTTTTTTTTGAGACAGAGTCTCGCTCTGTCGCCAGGCGCCATGCTGGATTGCAGTGGCGTGATCTCGGCTTACCTCTACCTCCACCTCCTGGGTTCAAGCAATTCTCCTGCCTCAGCCTCCTGAGTAGCTGGGACTACAGGTGCGCGCCACCACGCCCAGCTAATTTTTGTATTTTTAGTAGAGACAGGGTTTCACCATGTTGGCCAGGATGGTCTCAGTCTCCTGACCTCGTGATCAGCCTGCCTCGGCCTCCCAAAGTGCTAGTATTACAGGTGTGAGCCACCAAGCCTGGCCAATTTTTTTGAATTTTTAGTAAAGACAGTGTTTCATCATGCTGGCCAGGCTGGTCTTGAACTCCGGACTTTGTGATCTGCCTGCCTTGGCCTCACAAAGTGCTGGATTATAGGTGTGAGCCACCACGCCCAGCCCACAATTATTTATTTTTATTTTTATTTTTTTGAGACGGAGTTTTGCTCTTGTTGCCCAGGCTAGAATGCAATGGCCTGGTCTTGGCTCACTGCAGCCTCTGCCACCCGGCTCCACGCAATTCTCCTGTCTCAGCTCCTGAGTAGCTGGGACTACAGGTGCATGCCAAAGTACAAGTTTATGTTTAGAGATGGGGTTTCACCATCTTGGTCAGGCTAGTCTCGAACTCCTGACCTCAGGCAGTCCGCCTGCCTCAGCTTCCAAAAGTGAAGGATTACAGGCGTGAACCACTGTGCCCGGCCTTCACAATTATTTTAACTCCATTTTTGGTGGATGTCTTGATTGTTTCCACTTTTTGTTTTCTGAGCATTTTTTCTTGCTTTTTTCTTTTCTGTCATCTTTGTTGCAAGGATACTTTTTTATTATTTGACCATTGCTGTGATGGGCAGCTTTATATGTGTATCTTGACAAGCTTTTGTGAGAAAATCTTTAAGGTAAATTCTTTTTTTTTTTTTTTTTGAGAAGGGATCTCACTCTGTTGCTCAGGTTGGAGTGTAATGGCCTGGCCTCAGCTCACTGCAACCACTGCCTCAGGTTCAAGTGATTCTCCTACCTCAGCCTCCCAAGTAGCTGGGATTACAGGCATACGCCACCACGCCTGGCTGATTTTTGTATTTTTAGTAGAGACAGGGTTTCACCATGTTGGCCAGGCGGGTCTCGAACTCTTGACGTCAGGTGATCCGCCCACCTCAGCCTCCTAAAGTGCTGGGATTACAGGCGTGAGCCACCATGCCTAGCCTCCTTTCTTTTTTATCTCCCTGAAAGCCTTTCTTTTCTTTTCTTCTCATTCTTTCTTTCCCAAGAGCTCTTCCTCCTCTGTTCTGCCCCATGTCACTCTTTCTCTCCCCTTCCTCTTTCCATCTTTGTTTAATGTCTGTCTTTCCTTTGTATGGTTATATTATGGCCCTGAAATTTAATTTGTAGATTATTTCACTATAGTTGATAAAGTTTTATATATTTTTTTCTAAAATGCTAATGGATATATTGAAATTCCTTCTCTTGCCACTAGCTAAACAAAAGTAATAAAACACATTAAGTAACTTTTTATTCATTGTAACCCACTATGGAAATGACTTGGACCATAAACCTTAATTTTAAAAAAAGGTTTTTAAATTACTCTAAAGCTTTATATTTAAATATTTAATAGACTGTGCAGAATTTTAACATTTTATAATTTTGAACCTGTTATTCTGGACTAAATCTTCTTGAAGGAGAAACATGTCATAGAATCGTATATCTGTGCTAATATTTTAATATAATACTTAAAATAGTTTCATTGTTATAGATTAGCAGTAAAGTTCCCAAGGAGGAAAAGGTAGATGTTCACTTACTCTTTCCCTTTGGCAGATTCACACATGCTGAGTTCACCACGTCTTAGGAGCAGACAGCTTCTTTATGATGAGTTGGATGAAGTAAACCCACGTCTTCGAGAACCCCGAGAGCTCTTTTCCATTTTGTCTACCAAGAGGCCACTGCAGGCTCCAAGATGGCCAACTGAATGTGAGGTCATCAAGGAAAACATTCATCATATTGGTAATATGACTTATATGTAGTGGTTTCGCCATTGTACCTAACTGTATTACAAGACCTGAGAATGTTAAGTCCTGTGTGCTTAAGTATAAAGCAGGACGGAGTCAACATTCATGCATTCATTCATTCATTCATTCATTTGAGACAGTCTCACTCTGTCACCCATGCTGGAGTGCAGTGGCAAAATCTCTGCTCACTGCAACCCCGACCTCCCAGGTTCAAGCAATTCTCCTGCTTCAGCCTCCCAAGTAGCTGGGATTACAGGCACCTGCCATCACGCCCAGCTAGTTTTTGTCTTTTTAGTAGAGTCGGGTTTTCGCCATGATGGCCAGGCTGGTCTCAAACTCCTGACACTCAGTGATTCATCCACCTTGGCCTCCCAAAGTGCTGGGATTACAGGCATGAACCACTGCACCTGGCCTAGATCAACATTTATTAACTCACCCTGAAAAAATTGAACTGTGAGAAAGTGATATACACTCATCAAAATCAAGTTACACTAATGTAAACTAGAATACTTCTAAGTTTTTCGGAACTGGAGGATACCTTCCTAGAGGCCAAATATATAAAATACGGAAATCTATTTTCTAGATTAACCTGTTTCAGTGCTTTTTTTTCCCCTTTTTCTGTTTTTGGGGGGAGGTCATAGCATCTCATCTAAAAATACAGAGAAGCAGCTGGGCACAGTGGCTCACGCCTGTAATCCCAGCACTTTGGGAGGCCAAGGCAGGGGGATCACGAGGTCAGGAGATCGAGATCATCCTGGCTAACACAGTGAAACCCTGTCTCTACTAAAAATACAAAAAATTAGCCAGGCATGGTGGTGCGCACCTGTAGTCCCAGCTACTTGGGACGCTGAGGTAGGAGAATCGCTTGAACCTGGGAGGCGGAGGTTGCAGTAAGCCAAGATTGCACCACTGCGCTCTAGCCTGGTGACAGAGTGAGACTCCATCTCAAAAAAAAAAAAAAAACCAGAGGAGCTACCCTGTCTCAGTATTAATGTATGTGGTTGAGTTGTAGTTTTATCAGCCTTGGTATAATTGAAGACTACATGTACCAGAACATAGTTTTTACTGTTTTAAATTATACTTTGAGTTTATTGGAGTTTTCTTGTTGGAATTTTGGAGACTTTTTTATGACATTGTGAGTCATAGCTGTGAGCCCTTGGAGCAGGTACAATCTACTGCATCCATTTTACGGATTAAGCATTTATGGAAGTGGTTGCATTAGAAAGTGGAGACTTCTCTAATTACCAGAACAATTAAGTCTAGCAAACATCATGTATGTCTCTCCTTTATACTGCTGGATAAACAACTGGATGTTCCTCATTTTCTTGTCTCCCTGCTTATAGTATTCATTCATATGTGTTGTCATATCCTAAGTACAGTGCTTCATGCCAGAGATAATAGTGATGAACAAAGTGGAGAGTTCGTGGACCCAGAGTTCATAAACTAGTGGGGAAATTAAACATTTTACCAGACAATTGCATAGTGCTTGGTCCCTCTGAGCACACCTAATCCAGCTTAGAGATCAGCATAGGTTCTCAAAAGGAGTTGACATGTAAGCTGAGATCTAAAGGATGAGTTCGAAATGATCCAGTTGAGAGGGTCAAAGAAATGTATTTCAGCTGGAAGAAACAGAAAAAGGGCATGGCATTCTTGGGCAACCCTAGAACATTGGGCATTCAAAACAAGAGACAAGTGTGAAAATATAGGGAAAAAATAAAAGTGGAGTTTATTTTACTTTACATTTTATTTTGATTCAAGTTAATATTTTGTTTTTGAGACAGGATCTTGCTTTGTCACTCAGGATGGAGTGCAGTGGTACAATCATAGTTCACCGCAGCCTTGAACTCCTGGGCACAAACCATCCTCCCCACTCAGCCTCCTGAGTAGCTAGAACTGTAGGCTTGTGCCACTAATTTTTTTTTTTTTTTTTTTTTTTAAGAATGAAAAGAGTCTTGCTCCATTCTAAAAAATGGAGTTGCCCAGGCTGGTGTGCAGTGTGGCATGATCTTGGCTCACTGCAACCTCCACTTCCTGGGCTCAAGCAGTTCTCTTAGCTCAGTCTTCCAAGTAGCTGGGATTACAGGCATGTGCCACCATGCCCAGCTAATTTTTGTATTTTCAGTAGAGAGGGGGTTTCACCATGTTGCCCAGGGTGGTCTCGAACTCCTGACCTCAAGTCATTACAGATATGAGCTACTGCACCCAGCCACCTGGCTAATTTTTGAAAAGTTTTTTGGTTTTGGTTTTGGTTTTTGGATTTTGGTTTTTTTTGCTTTTGAGATGAAGTCTCGCTTTGTTGCCTAGGCTGGAGTGTAGTTGCTGGGTCTCAGCTCACTGCAGCCTCTGCCTCCTGGGTTCAAGCAATTCTCCTGCCTCAGCCTCCCAAGTAGCTGGGATTATAGGCGCCTGCTACCATGTTAAAAAGTTTGTTTGTAGGCCGGGCGCGGTGGCTCACACCTATAATCCCAGCACTTTGGGAGGCCAAGGCAGGTGGATCACGAGGTCAAGAGATCGAGACCATCCTGGTCAACATGGTGAAACCCCGTCTCTACTAAAACTACAAAAAATTAGCTGGGCATGGTGGCGCATGCCTGTAATCTCAGCTACTCAGGAGGCTGAGACAGGAGAATTGCCTGAACCCAGGAGGCGGAGGTTGCGGTGAGCCGAGATCGCACCATTGCACTCCAGCCTGGGTAACAAGAGCGAAACTCCGTCTCAAAAAAAAAAAAAAAAAAAAAAAAGCTTGTTTGTAGAGACACATGATCTCACTATGTTGCCCAGGCTACTCCCAGACTCCTGGCCGCAAATAATCCTCTTGGCTTCCTAAAGTGCTGAGATTACAGGTGTGAGCGGCCACCCCCAGAAAGGAAACTGAAATTTAATAACCAAGTTAATGCTGTGGTAATTAACTAAACTATAAGGTCTTTTAAAAAGCAATTTAAAAAATTTTTCAAAGAAACTTAACAACAAGCACCTTATTGTTTAAATTGTCAAAGCTTCATCACTTCCCATAATCTTTGAGAAAAGAAATTCATGAAATATTTTACTGAGTTGTATCTTTATATGCTCTTGGAATTCATCAGTGGCTACTGTACTAAACATGATATTGAAAAGTAGTTCAATTTCCATAAAAAAATCTTTTTAAGGGCCGGGCGCTGTGGCTCAAGCCTGTAATCCCAGCACTTTGGGAGGCCGAGGCGGGTGGATCACGAGGTCAAGAGATCGAGACCATCCTGGTCAACATGGTGAAACCCCGTCTCTACTAAA